GTGAATTCTACCATGCAGGATTTAATTAGAACCAGTGCCTGAAAACTACCTAGTACTGTCCCTGGTACATAATACCTGGGAAGTGGAATGAAACTCGAACCTGGGAACCGTGGCTCAGTAGACACTGTGCTCTACCATCGAGCTAAATGTCCAGGCCCCCTGGTTCATAATAGATACTAGATAAGTGTGTGTGTGTGAGGGGGGCACAATGAATAATAATGAATGGGGAAATCATTTTCTCAGTTATCCGTGATCAATATGCCAAACTGGAAAATGTCTATCCTAATTAAGTATTCCTTTAATTAAACTGGTAAATAAAATGGTGAGACAATTTCTCAAATTTACAGACACACACACCCCCTAATAAAAAGAAATCACTTTAAATACACAATATGCTCTTTTGAAACCTTCTGCAACTTTTGAGTTGTCAAGCATACTCATTCCTGTCATGGCAAAGAATAAGAATGCTTTCTTTGTGATGGAAAAAATATATTAAATTGCATCTTCTAGACTGGTGATTTAAATTGTGATCAAATCCACTCTAGTTGGGTGCCCCCAAGTTAATCCATTTACTGTGCACATTATTAAACATTTATTAAATGCCTCAGTATGGCAAAGTATGTCAAGGGTATGGTTTTGTTCGCTGAGCTTAAAATAAAATCAAGAACATAAAACTACTAAATGCATTCACTAATCCCAGCATATGCACTTTCACAAAACAGAAGTGCCACAATTACTGAAGCACAGAAATAGATTTTTAGATCCACAGGGGAAAGCAAAAGAGGGGGGTGGTGAATCACCAGTAATGAATTAGAAAAGATTTATCTGGACTGTAAAAAACTGACTAGGAAAGAAATTGTTCTAAAGAATGGGCTCGGTTCTTTTGCCATTCAAAACAAGAGGGGGAGCAAGCATACAGAAAAGACAAAATCTGATAGCCACTATTTTGGGAGCCCAAGAAAACTGAAAGCAGTGTTTACAAAACACATACAGAGGGAATGTCTGGCAGATGCCTCAACTCTCACCCTAATGATACTGAGTTAACATCTTTGGAACCTGGCCTGGAAATCTGTATGCCTAACAAAGCCTGGAGGTGCTCCATAAGCACTCCAATTCTGAGAACTATTCACTAAATGCACACCTTTAAGTAATCTTTGACAGATAATTTAAAGTAAAAAATGCCAAATGCAAGATCCAAACAAGTCTGCAGTTCTAAGCCCAGAAGTCAAATGAAAACAATAGAGTCTGGACCAGAGAGTGAGTAACAGCTGCAGGGATAAATAAGTAGTCATGGACTTTGCCAGTAGCCCTGTGATATTTAGCCCTTGCAGGCGAATAGCTGATGGATTAGTCAACAATAACCTGAACCCGACTGCACCACAGAGATGGCTTCTTTTGGCCCTTCGAATGTCAACCTCCTCCCCAACTCTAGCATCCTTCTGGAATGAATCTAGACAGGAATTCCTCATCATGCGCTTTGCCTTGGATGCTAAAATCTTTAAGAATGAGAGGGGAGCAAAGAAGATGAATAAGTATATTATTATATGGAAAAAGCTAATCTTCATAAAAGATTTCAACACTCAGTCAAAACCATTTTCCCCCTACAATGTGGAATAAACCACAGCATTATTTTCTAAGGAGGAAAACAGAATAAAATTATAAAGGGCGAAGGACACTGCTACCACACTTGCAAAACCTGAAGCTTCTATAAAAACAATAAAAAGCATATGGAATGAATACAAGTAAAAGGGATTATGCATGAATTGAGGAGTGGAAGGTTCTGGATTCAGCTGTATCCTCTACCAGATAGGGCTTGTACAATTCAACCCTCTTTTAATTCCCAAAGAGTCAATATTCCTTTTAAGCTATAAAACAATGTCAACATGCCACAATGCAAGTGTTACTCATCTCATTGACAGTAAGATTCATTTCTATAAGCCAGAATAATGCAGAACAAATGCATAGGCATGAGCTGTCTCCCTCAACAGAGACAAAGCACATCAAAGTTGCGGGGTCAAGAATTACAGGGTAGGATGAAGGGCAGTTTCATCATATGATGTAGCCATATATAAATTTCCTAAAACAGCATTCAAGAAAGAACAAAATAACATAAAATAACTAGAAAATCTGCATGACACTCATCACATTGGTCCTGCCCTTCATTGGACTGACAGACATCAAGGCGTAAATTAATAGGAAAAACAACCTGATGTTACTTGTTGTGGTCATCTGAGACAGGAGCAATGGATGATTCATGAGGAGAGCCTCCATCCTACCCGTCCACATCCACTTGAGACCAAATGCTAATCTTGGTAAAGACAGAAACACATATACAACAATTACAAAGAATGGTAAGAAAAATGATTAATGGTGAACACCAGCAGTCAATAAGTACCTCACTGCAGTAGCTAACCAAAAACTCAAGTGAAGCCTAAGAATGCACAAGGAAAGCCGCAGTTCTCTTTAGATGGGAGAAAATGTCGTTTCTTATATGTTATCGTGTGCTGTAGCATAAGAACCAACCCATAGCTGTCCTTCCAGCAAGTTTTCAGAGACAGTAAATCGCATGGAAGGAAACTGCCCATCCTTCTCCTGGGAAGCAGTTGGTGAATTCGAACTGTGTGCTTTTGTGATTGCAGTGCAGCTTCTTACACTACGCTATCAGAGCTCTCTAGTATACTGTATACTGAAGGCCAACTGTGAACTTGACTCCAACTCATCTATGCCTGTCAAAGCAGAACTGTGTGTCTCATAAGGTTTTCAGGGTCTGATTTTTCAAAAGTCAATGCTTCTGAGGTGCCTGTGCCTTGACTAGAACCGCCAGCCTTCTGTCTAGCAGCTGTGTTTGTGAGTACTTTGCACCACTCAGGGACACAAAGTTTGGAACTCGGCTCTCAGTTGAACATCTTCTCTTAAATTACCCAGGAGTAAATTGCATGGGAGGAAACTGACCATCTTTCTCTTTGGTAGATCCGAACCACATGTCTTTGGGTTGGTAACATGACATTTTATCATTAAGTCATTGGAGGATAAGTGGGTAACATATTGAACTGTTAACTGAAAGGTCAGTAGTGAAATAATCCAACAGCTATTTTGTGGGACAAAGATAGACAGTCTCCTTGTGTAAAGGTTTACTGCCTTGGAAACCAAGAGGAAGGTCATTATGAGTTGTAATTGACTCAGTAGCAGTGCATATTAGTTTGGGGTATTTATGGGGATATGGCCTAGAGATAAGGAGTTGCGCTGCAAATCCAAAGATATGTGATTTGAATTCCCCAACTGTTCCATGGAAGAAGGATGGGAAATCTCCTCTTGTGCTGTTTATAGCCTTCGAAAACCTGCTGGAGGGTCAGCTAAAAGGCGGTCCTCACTCGATGGCACACACAACAACAACATAGGGATATTAAGAGAATTGAATAAGGTCTAGCATTGCACAGTAAAAGTCTGTGTCAATATGGAATACATTAAATACATTAATCTATTGTAATTAATGTTATAAAACAAAATGTTTTTTGAATGATTGAATGAAAAACCAACATGATTTGTAAACTTTCAAATAAAAAAAAAGAAAATAAGTAAAGCCTAGACCTAAAGCCCTTTGTCTATTGTTTTGCATATCAATGAAGCGCTCAGTGAAGCCCTAGTTAAGGATAACATGAAACAACACAGAGCAGGCACTCAATAAAGATTGCTTTCTTATCTTTCTCATTTTGTGCTTCAAAGATAGGAATAAATGCTAAACAAATGGGAAAGGCTTATATAATAAAATAGAGTGCATAACTAAATCAGGACCAAATTATCTTAGCATTTACCTTTTCCTTCATTATTGTTATGACGACTAGGTTTCATTAATTTCACCAGCTGGAATTAGAGCTTATTATGTTCTTATGTTCCAAATCACAGTTTAAGATTGAGACAGTACATAGAGCATTTTAACTCTGATTTAATACCAAATGCTGCTTCTCACATCCTTTTTCGAGTATTAGTGATGTTAACATCATTATCGTAACACCTTCTCACAAACCAGTCAGAATTGCTTTATTCTCCTCCTCATCATCACTGGGAGCAAAGCCTCCCGTGTTGTTGAAAAATGATTTAATGTATGTAAATGGGTCCTGAAAACTATGAAGTGCTAATATAATCATTTACATGAGAATAGACAGAGATCTTAATCTTGCTATGTCTACCATGTAAAGAAGATGAAAGAAATGCACGGTAGTAATAAAGAGAAACACATGCATGTGTGTGTCCAGGCAAACGTACATTTAAAGTCAAAGAACAATAATAACTAGTATGGGAGTGAGGAAGCCTATGTCTGTATCCATGGTGGCGCGTAAATCAATAGGTGGAGTAAATAAAAATATTGAGGCAGTTAAAAAATATTTTCTATAAAACCAATTATTATAAATAAAACTTTAAAATCCATTTGATAAACCTAATTCCGAGGGCCCTCCTCTGTTCAATAATTTGTAATATCTGTAAAGGCTTGCCTCCAATTATTAACCAAGTACACACAGAGTGGAGGTCCCCTAATCAAGGGCCAGTCATGCCAGTGAGGTGAGAGAGGGCCAAGCAACTAATACAACACCACTGCAACCAAGCATTACTGTAAAGGGAGGCAGCCGTATACAAAGCCATTGCAAATCTATTTCACAGTTCTAATTTAGAGCCAATTCCAATGTAATTTACCTTATCAGGACCCTTAATTTAGTGAAGGTCAAGAGTGCAATCAATGGAGTTGACAATTACTTACGCTTATCAAAAGATAACATGGTAGCAGAAGTACTAAACACACACACACACACTGCAAAAAAGAAGGGACTTCCATAGATATCCAAGGCTTTCTTGCAGAAACAAATCATCTTGCAAATCAAAATGTTCTAAGAGGAAGCTTTTATTTGCCTCCTCTCTGCATCAAGCTCTATCTTAAGGCCAGAATATCCTTTCCATTGTCAACAACCGAGAATTGGAACACTTGGGGCACAAACTGTTGAACTTACCACTCTCATCGTCTATGTTAAACCTCCCGAGGCCGCTGCCATCCCTGATGGAGTACTGGATCTCTCCATCCCTCCCAGAGTCCTCATCCTCAGCAGTCACCTGAAGAACACTTGTTCCGATGCGTGAGTTCTCTTTTACAGATCCAACAACAGCGAAGTCGGGGAAGTAGGGGGTGTGAAGGTTCTCATTGACATCCACCACTTCCACTTCAACGAAGGAAACAGAGGACAGGGACACGGGGCGCCCTTTGTCCTTGGCCCGAACAGTGAGGTTATAGAACTGCTGCTTTTCATAATCAAGTTCTTTGCTCAAGCGGATCGCACCACTCACTTTATCAATTTCAAATCGCCCATTATAATCATTGACCAAAGAGTAGCGCACTTGACCCCCCAACCCAAGGTCGGGATCATGGGTCTCCAGCCATGCAATGACTGTGCCCACAGGAAGATCCTCAAGAACCTTCACACTATAGCTACTGGGAATGAAAGCTGGGGAGCAGTCGTTGACATCATCCAAAAACACCTTGAGAGTGACAATGGAAAACAGCTGCTGTCCGCTTTCTGCTCGATCCCTGGCTTCTATTTTTAAAGAGTAGTTTGATTTAGATTCCCGGTCCAGCTGGTCTGATACAAACACAATCCCAGTGGAGCTGTTGATGCCAAACTGCTGTGTATCTGTCAAGACTGAGTAAGTCACGTCTCCATTGGAGCCCAAGTCCTTGTCTCTGGCTTCCACTTGAATAATCTCAGTACCAATGCTAGAACTTTCAAGAATGTTAACCGAGTAACTGTCTTGAAGAAAAACAGGGCTGTTGTCATTAGCATCCTCCACATTGATGGTGAGTAACCTCCAGGAAGACTTCTGTGGATTGCCTAAATCATAGATGGTGATATTAAGGAGATAGAGGTCAGTGTGCTCTCGATCCATAGGCATGAGGACTTTAAGCTGCCCGGTCTCCATATCAATGTTAAAGCAGCTGTCTGTATTTCCATCAGATATTGTAAACAGTACCTTCCCATTGAAACCAGAGTCAGCATCGTAGGCTTTGATCTTCAAGATGTTAGCACCGACTGGCAGATCCTCTCTCACAGCCACATCAGAAGGGAAAGACTTGTCAAAGTGTGGACCTTGCCTGTTGATCGAATAAAAGTCAAGAAATCCATCTTCCAGGTTCAGTTTCCCATTTGCTTTTGCTTTAATGAGCAGTTTCTCTGCCAGTTTTTGAGCCACTCGGGTTTCCCTGCAACTGAAGCTTTTGGAAGAAACCTTGCCGTGGAGGACTGAAATGTTAACAGACATGGGGTCTGCAAAATTCTCCCCATCTGTGGCTGTAATCCACAGGCCAAAATTGCCATTTTTAATGCCAGAGTTTATCAATGACTTTTTCAGCTGTAAAACTCCAGAGTCTGGGTTTAAGTAAAAGAAACCAAGTTCATTTCCCGAGATGATTTTGTACTTCACAAGCTCAAGCTCATCGATGTCAATGGCAGAGACAGCTGTGATGTGACCCCCAACTGGAAAGTCATAGGAAATAACTCCCTGGCATGCAACTTTTTCAAAGAGAGGGCTGTTGTCATTGACATTTCCGACTCGAATTGTCACATTCACCTCGCTTTCGTGGCGGTAGGGCGAACCCCAGTCAGAGGCTCGGACGATGAACCTGTAAATTTCTGGAGAGGATTCAAAATCCAATTCTTCTGTTGTGCTAATGACACCTGTAAATTGGTTGATGGCAAAGGGTAACAAGTTCAGGCTGGCGATACTGTAGGTGATGTAGCCATTCTCTCCTTTATCCTTGTCTGAAGCAGAAACCATGAGGACACTGGTGCCCACAGGGACACTTTCATTCACAAAAGCATCATAGAGTGGCTGCTGGAATTCCGGGGTGTGGTCGTTGGCGTCTTCTATGCCGATGGTGACTTGTGCTCTCAGGTCTCCTTCCCTGTTGGTCACCCCCAGCTTATAGATCTCCTTCTTAATGGTATTCAGTGGCTGTGCTGTGACAATCAGGCCGGACCGAGGGTTAATTTTAAAGTATTCCGAGTCTTCCCCGGGAGCTAATTTGTATTCCACATCTAATGGCTCCGGACTTAATTTCACAATGACAACCACGACTCCAGGAGGGGAAAATTCACTGATGCTCACGTCATACACATCCTGTTCAAATTTCACAGGGACAGTATCTCTTTTGGGGTTGGTGATGTGAACAATCTTGACGGCTGAAAACTTCTGCGGGGAACCCCTGTCTTTTGCCTGAAGCGTGAGATTGTAGCCGTAGGGGAAGCTTTGCCAGTCGACCTGCTTTTTCTCCTTGACCTTGAACTCGTTCAGCCACTTGCCCTCCTTGGCCAGGACAAACTGATCCAGAGGGTCCCCAGCCACTATGGAAACCGACTCAATCTCCCCATTGGCCCCCTCGTCCAGATCGTCAACGGTCACTACGGCATATGTGGGCTCTTTGTCCAGCGAGAAGGGAACGTGGGTGACCACGTGGATGGTTGGGGCGTGCTCATTGACCCGTTCGACGTGAACATAAAGCTTCGCAGTACTGCTCACCCCGTTGTTACCATAGAGTTTCATGCCCCGGTCGACGGCCAAAATTTCCAAGTCATACCTATTCTTCTCATCGTAATTGAGGCGTCCGCTTAACGAGATGACACCACTCGTGGGGTGGACTGAAAAGAGGTCGACTTTGTTTTTAAAGTAATAGTAGAACTCTCCGTTGGACCCGATGTCCGCATCTGTTGCTGTCACCTGGGCGACACTAGTCCGTAAAGGTGTGCTTTCTGCAATTGTAACAGAGTACGTGGTGGGCGAAAACAAAGGCCTCAGATCATTCATATCCAAGACCTGTATATTCACTTTGGTCCATGCTTCTAAGTCTTCTCCTCTCACAGAACCTTTAACTATCAATAAATAATTGTCCTGGATTTCCCTATTCAATATGGCAGAATTGCCACCTTTAGTTCTTATTCGGAGGAAACAGAAATCAGCAATGATCACTTCCTCTGCTTTGAAAAAGCCTTCCTCATCTCCAGACACTATTCTGTACTTGATATCCCAGGACAGATCTATCAGGGTGATGCCCATTCTACTCTGGCTGTTGACATAGGTTCTTGCTGCTGAATTCTCATACACGGTAGCGTTGTAAATGGAATGTGTGAAGTGGAAGCCCAGGGGTCCAGTCCTCTGCAGCCCCTGGGAGACTGTGGCCAAAAGCTTGAGAAGCAGGAGGAGGAGGCAGGCAGGAGGCGGCCTTGTGCCCACACAGTACCCCATAATTATATCCATCACCTCATACTTCCATCCTGGAGGGAAGAAAAAAAAAAAAAGAAAAGGGGAATTAACCCAGAGAAAAGTTGGAGAAAGAACAGGAAATAGTGAATCTGCATTAAAAAGGAAAGAGAATTTTTTTTAAACATCTATATTTTTACTAAAGTAAGCAACAACTGAAAATAACAATATTTACTCAATACCAATTAAGTTACTGCCACTAATTAAGGAGTTAGAACTCAATACAATCTTATTTCTAAAATAACACTTTTATAATACTCAATAATATAATGTTTCTTCTTTTCTCAAGGTTTATTTAGAAATATGTATTGTTGTTGGTATGTGCCATCGAGTCGCTTATGACTCATAGCCCTGGAACCTGCTCTATTCTGTGCCAACCATATTTTCTCTGACACATTTATCCTTATTACCCCAGTTACAGAATCAATTCATCTCACTGAGGGTCTTCCTCTCTTGTGCTGTCCCTCCACCCTGCCAAGCATTACGTCTCTCTCCAAGGACTGGTCCCTCCTTGCAACAAGTCCAAAGTATGTCAGGTGAAGCCTCAGAATCCTTGCCTCCGAGGAGCAGATGGTTTCACCGTCTCCAAGTTGAACTTGTTTGTTCGCCTAGCAGTCCACTGCATAGTCAGTACTCTTCTTCAGCACCACAGCTGAAAGCCATCAATTCTCTTTCTGTTCTCCATAGTCATTGTCCAGCTTCCTGATGCATATCAAGTGATTGCTTTTTACTTTTTAGCTACATTTTATGTAATTTTTCTAAGAAATCTACTAATGTCTATCTATAGAGAACTAATTAAAGGATTTGTATATATACAATAATTTGTATAATACTAATTATAGTATTTCATAAAGTGAAATACAATGCAGCCAATAACATAATAATAATTCAGATATGGCTTTACAGATGTGGAAAGATGTAATGCTAAGTGAAAAATGAACATCATACAGCAGTATATATAGCATATGGAATGATCCCATTACTATTTCAATATTTCTCTGTAAATAGAATTTTACATCTAAAAAGGAGAAATCGTGTTGTGCAATTTGGGAGCTTTACTTGCATTTTCTAAATTTTCTTCAGTGAGCAATATTTACAAATGTTCATATAATACTTATATAATTTCTAAAGCAAGAAATCACCAGCTTTTGCTTCTACATTGAAAGTGATCGCGATTTAGAAGCATACACCGTGAGGGTGAACAAAACATTCTACGACAAGTAAAGCAGAGAAGGAGTAATCCCAGAGGAGTGTGCGGGTTCCAGTGATGCCAATGCATGCCACTCTGAATAAAGGAGGAAAGAGCAATTTCCAGCAAGAGAGGCAAATATGGGAGCTACTTCCAATTCTTTTTATATATCACTATTATCAATCCACAACCTCCACTGCTCTGTGACCAAGCAGGAGTCAGGGGAAAGCTAACGCTTTTCTACATGAATCCATTAAATCTGTTAAAGGGAGGGCAAAGCCTTATTTAACAGGGGCTAGTGAAGTCTAAGGTGCGCCTGATACAGGCCAGGGTATTTGCAATCGCTTGTTATGCATCAGAGAGTTGGACAATGACTAGGGAGGACAGAAGGAGAGTGGATGCTTTTGAGCTGTGGTGCTGGAGAAGAGTACTGAATGTACCATGGACTGCCAGGAAAACAAACAGATTCATCTTGGAGAGGATTAAACCAAGCTACTCCTTGGAGGCAAGGATTCTGGGGCTTCGTCTGACATACTTTGGACATGTTGCCAGGAGGGACGGGTCCTTGGAGAGGGACATCATGCTTGGGAGGTTGAAGGGACAGCGCAGGAGGGTAAGACCCTCTATGAGATGGATTGATTCGGTGACTGGGGTAATCGGGATGGGTGTGTCAGAGACAGTGCGATTGGCACAGGATAGAGCAGGGTTTAGGGCTGTTGTGCATAGGGTCGCTATGAGTCGGAAACGACTTGACGGCACATAACAACAACAACAACAAGTGAAGTCTATTATTATCCCAATTGCTGAAATTTGTAGAATTCCCCCAATATGAGCTCTTCCACTAAGCCACACGTCAGAGATTCACTTCTTCCATTTCTTCCTCAGGAGACAGTGGACAGAGAGACAAAAGGGAAGTGAGTTAGGAGGATGTGGGAAATTAATATTACAGTGGGCACATTATGAGTCATTGAGTCATAAATAGTAAATGCCAGATATTCTCCATTATAGTTTTTTATTCCTCACAACAACCTTGAGTAAAATAGGTTCTCAGTTATCCAACACCAGATTAGTTAGAGAAGTGAACCCATTTGACTGGGGTTTTGGTTCAATCCTAGTTTGGATTGAATCCTACGTTTGTACTAGGAAAGAAATCAAACCCTGATTCATATTTCTGTCTTCCACAGTACACCATCCTCTCTTCAATGTTGTGGTGGATGTGGTTGTTGTTGTTGTTGTTAAGTGTCGTCGAGTAGTAGATAACTCATAGTGATCCTAGGAACAAAAGACCTGAGCACTGCTCATAGAGTTTCCGGAGGCAAATAACTGAATTATTAAGTGTCCTGTGAAACGCTGCTAAGGGCACTGGGTGGCAGAATTCTCACCTTGTAAGCAGGAAACACGGGGTCCATTCCCAACCAACGCACAGCCACCACCAGCTGCCAGTGGTTGATGTTCAAAACAGGTATCAGTTGGAATTTTAGAATAGACTAAGACCACAAGTCTGACAATCTATTTCTGAAAATCAACCAATGAAATTGTAAGGATCACAAATGTCTATGATCTGTAAGAGACTGGGAGGATGGTGCAGGCCTAGGAAGTAGCTATTCTATATGCATTTACCTTTGATGACTCCAGAGCAGCTAACAACAAAAAGATAAAAAGATATGGCCTAATTTCATTCTAGTAAAGCAGTTGACATGTGGAGAACTCTGGTGGTGAAGTTTGTAGCAAGCTGAATACCCTTTTGGATCCTGCTAACCAAAAGTTTCGCATTTCCAATCTTTCAAATCCAACAGCGGCTCAAAGGGAGAAAGATGGGCAGTCTCTTCTCACTACAATTTACAGCCTTGAAAACACAATGCAGGGGTTTGATGAGTTGGAATTAACTCAACAGCAATGAGTGAGTTAATCAACAGTTATCACTGATGGGATACCATAAAACTCACCACCACTTCTATTTAGGGATCTCTTTTCAAGATCTAAGCTAGTTCCAATTACTGACTGTAAAAGGAAATACTCCCAGTAGAAGAATAAAGCTTTAAAATATTACAAATATAGCTTGTAAAATGTGATTGCTATGGCTGGCTCTCCTTCTGGAACCCCTTAGGGGGGTTAGTATCTGAAGCAGGATGACTGAGGGACACTGACACAGGGAACACAGGGAACCGGGACAGGAAGGAAGTCCGATGACCACTGGGCAATGCTCCTTCTGTGAGTCCCTTGAAAGGCTCCACCAGGGTGTAAGGCATTTCTGAGGTTTTTGTTAGCAAAATGATGTAATTTTGTTTTATGCATACAATACTCAAACGCCCTGCCAGGAGAGTAGAGAGCTCAGCAGAATGGTGTTCTTGGAGGTGTGGAACTCGTTCAGCAGTAAAGGGCGTGACACATCCCTCTCCACAGATCACAGGTGAATGGGCAGGAGCATCCCTGTTGGGGCTGTTACATGCCTTCAAGTCATAATGGATTTACAGCTGCTAATCTTCCAGTGGGCTTGCAGAGGCTGTAAGTCGCATGGGAGGAGACTGTTCATCTTTCCCCCCCAGGGCAGTTGGTGAATTCCAACTGCCTGCATTGGGGTTGGCAGTGGACTACCAGAGTACCCTAGGAACTTCCCTAATTCCCCAAATATGCTTCCAAAGACTCTTTCATTTCAGCATATGAAGATGCTCCAAAACAGAGACATGGTATTAGATTCACCATGAACTTGGTGAAGTGAAACAGACAAAGCTCTTTTTAGGAAATGACCAAAGCCTGGAAGTATGTAACTGTGGCTTCTCTTGGTCAACTTCTGAGAAATCTCAGTTCAGATTCTCTCACTTTCCCATTCACTGGTGGCCTGGTGGTAAAGAGCTGCACTGCCATGCCAAAGGCACGTGGTTTGAATCCACCAGCTACACTGAGGGGGAAAGATGGGCAATCTCCTCTTACGTGATTTACTCCCTCTGAAAACCCACGGGAGAGTCAGCTGTAGGTCAGTTCTGACTCCTTAGTACACAACAACAAAAACAATAATCTAAACTCAAGGAATTCTGTTGGCCTCTTTTGTTGCTCTGAACATCAAAAAGCCACATACCAGCTATTCAAATTTACCAGTAGCTCCTTCAGAGAAACATTACATTAACATTAACATTTACTGTCTCAGAAAGTCTTCCTATGGAGCATTTCTCTGAAGTGGAATGAACCCAGAAGCAGTGAGTCCATTTGACTCTGAAGTGAAGAGACTGCCTGTTGGAGCAGTTCTCCTGCTATTTTATCCACATGGTCATCAGCATGGGGAAACAGCTCCCTGGGGAATTCCATTCAAATGAATCTGTTGGGAATAGAATGAGCTCAGCTGCTAAATGGAAGGTTTTCAGTTCAAGTCTACCCAGAGGTGCCCACAACAAAAGGCCTGGTGATCTACTTTCAAAAGATCAATCGCTGAGAACCCCATTGAAATTCTACTGCAGCACCCTCAAGTTTGCCATGGATCAGAGACTACTAGTTCTGGAATCCTTTCAGTCTGTCACCTGTCTTTGTCCTGGACACCATATGAAGGAAACCTGATAGGGATGAGGTGTGCTTGTGGATCATGGTTCCCCCAGCACCCTCCCTCCTTACTATTTTGTTGCTGTTGTCCACCATGGAGTTGGAATCTATCCATAGCTGACCCTTCAGTCAGTTTTCAGAGGAAATGGAGAGGAAATGGACCATCCTTCTTCACCAGAGCAGCTGGTGGAATCAAACCATATACCTTTGGGTTGCCAGAATAACTCCTTACCTCTTGACCAACAGATCTTCCCACTTACTGCATAGGAAGACCCAG